GAGCTTGCACAAAAATCACTTCCTGATTCAGGTCTTCCTGTATTTCGAGCACTGCTGCACAAGATTCTTGATACCTACTGATTGCTTTTTTGGCACTGCAGTGATTATTCATGGAAGAAAACCCCACTGAATGTGTATGGAAATCTCTCACAAAATACTCAAGAAGCAAACTGAATGTTTTACTGCTTTTGTGATCTCAGTGGCTGTAAAATGCAAAACATGGAGCCCAGGACTTAAAACTGATCTATCCTATTCACAGAAATGCTCTAGCTTTAAGTGTTTGGTGGGAGGAAGCATTTTCAAGACTTTAAGGAGGTACGTGTGTGTATACCTTCCATTAATAATGCAAAATTGGCTTTGACTACTTAAGAAGAATATTAGACAAAGTGAATTCCCATTCTAAGCCACTTGCTAATCTTTTGACACTTCTGAAGATTGCAAGATAAATCCCCGGGTTTCCACTCACTTTGCCTGTTTGTTTGTTTAATTTCTACACTACGCAACTGCTGAAGCTCTCTGGGCAGTTCACAAAACGCAATGTAGCCAACATATACCTGAAATCCAATTCTTTTAGCTTTCTTAATCCACAAGTAGAATAGAAGGTGAAGGTTTTCTTTTGGATTCATTAAAAGAGTATGTTTTTGTTTCAATGAGGCTTCAAGTTAGAGTACTTGAATTTCATATAGGTCCCAAATGATTCAAACTCACTTTGCTTGCAATCTGAAAGGGAGTGTATTCTTTTGAAAAACAGTCATATACTCCTAAATCTGTGATTGCTTTTGAAAAATGTTCCTTCAAATCCAAATTTTTAGACAAATGTGCCTTCCCATACTTTTGTCAATGTAAGGAAGTCTGTACTTTTGAAAAATAGGCACAGAAATGCACACTGTTCCCATCTGAGCAGACAAGTGAATGAGCTCAAGTGTGCCAAATGGAAAAGGGAGTGAGCTAAATCAAGTTTAGAAATGAAATTTGGAGAACTCCTCTCGTTCTCCCAGCCTTACTCCCTATGCAACATTAGATAACACTTGTCTTTTTTCTGTGGCTATATGAGTGGTAATAAAATATTAATAATTTTATTTTCTATGTAGGATTGTTAGTCTCTGATCCTATGTCGATGTATTTGGCAGCCAACTCTACTCAACAGGTCCTGAACTGATGAAGAAAGGGAGGAATCTCCAGATAACACAATGAGGAATGCATTCCAGGTCCAAGTTGTTTTGTAAAGCAGTCCAGTGGCCATTCAAAAATGGAAGGAAGAGTACAGGGACTCCCAGCCCTCCCCATATCATGCTAGAACTCCTAGCTTAGTGGGGCTTCCATATTGGTAATGGAACCATATTGGATTTGCCAACTGCATGAGTAATAATGCCCTGCATGTGAGGGGAATAGGGATAAGCACTCACTTGTTTTCTGTCCTTTTCAGCCTCAACTCCATACCACCCTGGAGGTGAGAAGAACATTGTAAAAGATGAGCAAACCCCATGCACATGGGCTTCACTTACAGTTGGGATGAACCCTGCCAGAATCTGTTCCTCCAAGCATTTGTGGACTTCTTCTGCTTCTGCTCGGTCTTCCAAAGGAAGCTGAGCCAAGCTGAAGTCCACGAACACCCATGGAGTCCTGTTTTCACAGGGGCCCTATGCGTTCTCCTGCTTCCAGAACCCTAGATGAAGAGCATGTCATTGAAGGCTTCACCAGGGACAGCTACCTTTCACAGGAAGCTCTTGTCATGGTCACTTACTTCATGGGAAATTGTGCCTATGCTGCCTGGCACCTTCAGTCTGCAGCAGGTGTTCTTCCTGCCTGGCAGCAGCCACCCTTTCTCTGCTTCCCTCCATGATGGAAAAGCACACGGAAAAGTGACTTTTTTCCACGGGAGGTCATTGATGCCCCATCGGTGAGGGTGTTCAAAGATAAGCTGGACATGCACATGGTGGGCATGTCATGAGCGGAGCCGGCTGGAGCCGGGGGTCAGACTAGATGGCCCGGGAGACCCCTTCTAACTCACTCTGTTTCTATGTTTCTATGGCCGTTCCCTAGAAGGATCCATAGCCTCTGGTGTACTTGAAAAAACTGCAACCTAACAATCTGAAGCTTGCAAGGTGTGCATGCATAAGGGATATACTGCCTCTAGTGGTCTTTTTACTAATTGCAGCCTACAAAAACAAGTGCCCCATCGTAGCTATATCACATCCCGGTTAGGCGCCTGGGCCGATGGCACTGCTGGATGGGGGCCTTGCTCCATCATCAATATTACTCTGCAATTTTACAGTATTACGGATGCCCATGACCAGCCTTCTTAGGCACCAGGAGCAGCCACCATTTGAACAGCCACTCCAGGCCCAACAGAGGGCACAGTGCACGGGGCTTGATTCCTTGTGAGAACCACTGAACTCTGATCAGGAACTCAGACTGGGCTGCCACAAAGCAAACCAGAGTCCAGGGAGCTCAGCCCAGGGAATCCAATGGATTCCCAACCCTGGACAGATCCCCGGACATGCCCCCACACATCCCACCTGAGTGGGACGGTGTAACGTGGTGTCCTGCAACAGCAGGGGGTTGGACTCAATGGCCTTCATGATCCCTTCCAACTCTAGTATTCTATGAAACTGTCCATCTATCTCTAGCTTCACCCATGGCTAGAACCTTGACCACTGAGGTTTCCACATCATGGAGGGAGCCCATGTGGACGGTTGGGTCCTTGGTGATCTGATAATAAGGAAGAGATTGGCAGACCCTGCTCTTGTCTTCACACAATTGTGAATCATTTGTAGGTCGGTGGAGTTACAGCCATGGCAACATGATGCCATCCACAGAATCATGTGGAATACCATTGCCCAGACCCATCACAGTGGTGGACTTCAAATAAGATCATCCGCTGTAACTGTAGTTCTTCTACTGTATGGCATGGGGAAGTTATCACATGATAGACATGCTTTTTGGAAAATCAAGTAGAACAAGGGTGTTTCGTGGTTATCATCCTTGTTCTGAATTCTGAGATAACAAAGTGTTTAATGTAAATGCCACTGGGAGGGAAGATTATTCAAGCCAGCAAATGTTTACATGTCAAATGGACTGCTACAAATAAGCCCTTAATTTAAGATTAAAGTAGTAGCTATTAAAAGTTAATTACAGTTGATGTTTGGGGGAAAACACTTCAGTCAGCAGAAGAACTGCAGTGAATCCTGCTCTCCTTACTGTTATCTCAAAATTACACAGGCAATCAAGTCATTTTATGACTGAAAATGGGTGGACGTAACGACAATACTCTGAAATAAACAGTCAATTGCTAATTCACATTATATGCCTCATAAGAACAAGTTATCAAGATGCACAAAATTCTCTCCCCGTGAACCTTTTCCTGGAGCTCAGCCCTACCCAGATGAATGAAAAATCCTCTATTTTAGGGTGGACAGAGTTGGACCGGAGCAACTCAATGGCTGCTGTAGGCTCGTCTTGTGGCTGGTCCCAAATACGGGCATCTGTATGGGGATGGACCAATCTGTAATTCTGATCTCAGGTCTTAAATTCAGTTCTTTCCAAATGCTGAGAGTTTTTTTTTTTAAGTTTGCCTGACGCATCATGCCAAATTTGGGAATGTGTAAATTTTGGCTTCACAAATCACAAACAAGTGGTTTGACAGTTCAGGATTAAGCATGATGGCATGCAAATGGGAACTGGATGCATTTCTCCCACATAAGTAGCTTCCAGGCATGTAATGTCAGAAAGAACAGAATTAGTGCACTGCATCTCCAGCTGTTTACAACCACGATGCACCTCTGGAATTCAGATGACAAATGAGCTGAAATTTCAGAAGACGTTTCTAAATCTCTTTCTCTCTTTTTCCCCCACTTAGAAAAAAGGCCTCTGTGCAGAATTTTCTTTGGATGTGCTCCAACATTCAATGATGGCAGCTACTGCCCTGTTCCACCCACCCTCTGGCACTCACACACACGAAGCACTTAATTCTGGCTGTTCTGAAAAGGTCCAAGCTCAGTGCATGGTGAGTTATTTCAGTGCTTCTTGCTATCAGATTTTCTCTCTGCTTGGGATGTTTTCCATTTCAAGTGCCAAAGCACCTCAGGAGGTTTTGTGCATGACGCACCTTGAGGGACTTGGGAGTAAAAGGTGAGTTTCGTTGGTTGCTTTTCTCAGGCAACAAAATGTCTTGGTTCAGTCTTGTCCACTCACCCCCCCCACACACACACACGTGCAGTGCCCCAGAATGATGCTAGATCTGGGGCATAGAGGAGGATACAAAACAAACATTTTGCCCATGTGTTTGGTTTTGGCTCTGTTTCTCCCTGAGCCCCAGCCTCATTATTTGAAAATAATAATTGACTGATAATTGGCACTTACTAATTTACTTTAAAAAGGCAGAAATCATTAATCATTCCATTGCTAATTGCTTCAGATACACCATTATCAGGGACTGCCTCACAGCTCTAGGACACGCTTTCTCAGGGATCCACTAAGGCAGGAGTGTAAAAATTGGGGCCCACAGGCCACCTGTGGCTCATTTCTGGTGGCCTGCCTGAGTCTGGTGCATGAGGCCCTGAAGTGGCACTTCTCATCACTTGCTTACCTCCTGTCATTCCAGGGAATTCACCTGGCAGGTTCAGACAAGCAAGAGGTCACCTTAATTGAATGGGGCATTTTTGCTTTATGATAGAGGGCTGATTTTTAACTGTCAATTGGTTTCCTGCCCCAAAATCCTGGCAAGGGGTTGTGATGAATTGAATCATGTAAGTACACACATACAAATTAGAGTTTTATTGTATTCTTAAGATGCGAAAGGCAGATTTACACTGGAAGAAGAATGGCCCATCTTTGGCATGTTTTGTTTGTGCTTTTCTTTGTGGCTTCTCTTCTTGTGAAGCTGTTCTGTTATCAGATACATGCATGCCTGTTCATTAATTAACCTATTACTTCTGCAGCCATCCCTTCTCAGATATCATTGTGGGCTTTGTGTTGCACCGAGATCAGTCACAAAAGCTTTAACTGTGCATATTGTCCTGGAAAGATCTCAGTTCCCCACTTGAATAGCCAGGCTCCATGTGGTGTCTCCTTTTCCCACCTAGCTTATCATAAGGTCCCATCTCTTGCCCCGTGGCAGCAAACCTGCCTCTGGGTCTCCCTGTGGTTCTACACCTTTCTGCACAGTGGTACCAGCCTTTAACGAGATTCTCTTGATTGATCCAGCTTTTGTTTTCTGGGAGAAAACAGAAGGTCTCCCTGGAGCCAGCCAGCGGTTTTGGACCATAAGCCCTGGTTGGCTCACCCTTAATGTACAATGGGTCTTCTAACCTGTACCTCTCATAGTCTTGTTGATAGTAAAGATATCTCCAGTTGGGTTCACTGGAAGATCTGTTTCTTAAACCATCATAATCTTTACTCCTTATTTTTCTGAACTGGTGAGTGTTGTGAGACTTTGACTTGCTTATATCTTTAGCCACGATGTTCTCACTTCTTAATGGGCCAGGGCTCCTGCGAAATAAGCTCACATCCCTAGACCTTGATCGCCTGTGCTCTCTCCTGCATCTTCTGTCTCTAGAACATTTTATATACTGCTTCTCTTCACGGGGATGCCTTCTTCTACTTCTGCCTCCCCGTCTTGCCTTCGGGGCAGGATATCCTTCTTCCAAATTGCATTTCATGACCCTTGATCCATTGCTCTTCAGGACACGCTTCCTCCTGGGACATAATACCAGATGCCTTTCCGAAGAGGAGTCTTTCAAGTGCCTTATGGGAGAATCTACTTGTTGCCACATGGTTGTTTCCCCCTTTGTTCCATGTGGCATATTAGTGATTTTGTCAGCATAGCTGTGAGTAAAACTAAATGCTTCATAGTCTTCAGATCCCAATATATTTAGGGAACTCTTAGAGGCACCAGCATCTATAGTCTCATTTTTCTTTATGTATTGAAGTAGCTGAGAACGCCTGTTTTTTCCGAGGTCATCCCCTGTTTGCTTTCCTTTTTCAGACTCACTGTTGGACAAGTCCTCCAGATGATTCCCTTCCTCGTTCAAATGGATGTGGTCATCTGCTGTGGTAGACACGGCCATGGTCTCCTTCCCCGAACTGGAGTGAAAGCATCCTGGGTTTCCATCTTCTACATTATTGTCAGCTTTGGACACCTGATCGTCAGGAGGAAGCAAGGAACAGTCCTCATCAGAAGATGCCGAAGAGATCAATGAGTCTGAATCTTCTCCCATTAGACTGGGACATTCATATAAGGCATTCCAGTCATATTTCTTCAAACTCAATGGCGACAGCACAAAACTGATGAACTCATGCAAGAACTGATTCGTGAAACGATGCAAATGGGGCTGTAACAGAGCTTCGAATTCCTTGCTCCATAGATCGTGCTGTGTCATGTTGTTTAGGATGAAACTCTGCAAGCTTTGAATCTTCGGCCTCTGATTGCCACACAGGACTTTTAATTCTCTCTTCAGCCACGGGATTAATCTATCAGAGTAACCCGGATTTCTTCTGAGAAATTCTGCCGAGGCAGTTTGGTTGAAATCCGGATTTGGAGCATTTTGAACTAGGATCCCCGCATGGTATAAAGCTCTCCTAAAGTGAATTACTGCTTGGGCTTTAAACTTCCCAAGGCTTATTACTGCTCTGTTAGCAGGTCCCTTTGTTACTCCAAATTCTCTCATGAGCTGATAGACACCCTTTTCCCTTTGCGTTATCATTCCCTTAATTTCATCATGCACTATGCCGTTGTCAGGGGGCGATGTGAGTCTCTGAGAGGAAGCGGATGTGTGACCTTCCCTGCTCTCAGAACGAGACAGGGTGCCATCGTTCAGGGGTAGGATGTACTCACAAAGGGCACCTTTGGAGCCAACCATGTGGAAGAATGAGTGGAAACGCTGCTTACAGAGTGGGCATAGTACTTTCTTTCTGGACCATTTCTGTATACAATCGAAGCAGAATTTGTGATTGCATGGGTTCAAATATGTCTTGTCCTGGATTCCTTCCAAGCAGATGGCACATGTTGAGCTTTTTGCCATGCCTCCTGGCATTACCTTCACCAAAGAACCCCCGCTTGGGGATCTGAAGCCACTCCTGGCTTTAAATTCCTTATGCAAGGGTCTCATGATCTGAAAGAAAACACAGAAATCTTGGAAGAGCCAGCACAAGGCAGCATTTTTTTTTTCTGGTGTAATTTGCTGTAGGATCATGGTTCCATAATATTTTATGGGTGCAGAAGGATAACTTGAACTGTTTCTGGTTTTAAAGAAAGGAAAATGCAAATAGTTAGCCTAGTTTATGTTGTAATTATGGGTGCACCAGTCTGCCACTGGGCACAGTTCCACATGGGCAGCCCTACTTAAGTGGGGAAGCGGATGTGAAACGGGTGATTCCAATCTCCAATTCATCAGCCAACCTAAATGCAGAATACTTAAAAATGAAGCTGAAATTCCAGCAATTGGCCGTTAAGGAGAGAGGATAAACGCTTCGACTGAGTTTCCTGAAAGACACGTATTAGCTGATTACAGCTATAACAACAACAACAACAAAACAGATCGAGGATGTTTGCTCTAAACTTTGCAAACATAGATCTGTTTTTCATTCCATAATTCAACAGTGTGATGTTTAATGAAATTCAATATAAAATCAACATCAGGTTTTTTAAAAGTTTGCCATTTTAGCAATTACCATAATTCATTTTTACACTCAGTGACCATATATTACAAATTTAGATTGTTATGTCCCTTTCCAACTTTTCTTCACCTCTATTGGCCTTTGGAATTTTGCCTTATTAGTGTGGATTTTCAGTTATCCAGGACTTACAAGATCTTTCACATCCATTGAAAATCAATCAGCTCATTAGTGAGATAGTGGCAACATTATTTTTGTCAGTGAGGTGACTTGCCTCACATGAACAGATTTTGAAAACAAAAAACCATCGTACTTTAGTCAAATATTGTAGGTTACTCAAAACAGATTATAGTAACAAAAATGCTCATGACAGTTGCCATTTTCATATTGAGGCAGTTATGGAGTTGAATCCAACTTCCTTATTGTGCTTGTAGAAGGGATAACATTGGTGTACCACACTGGACCTCCACTTCTCCTGCTCCTCACCCCTTCCCTGGAGGGTCCCTGAAAATCCCCTCCCATACATATTTGAAGGGCATGCAGGGGACTGTAGGAAACGACCCAGAAATCCCATCCCTTTTAGGCCCCAGCCTGTCTTAGTTTATGGGGTAGGCAAGGGACTGAAATTTAAGGATGTTTTGGATGAGGTAGTCCTAAAAGGACTAGTTTGGACTAGTTATGTGTAAATTACAGTACTGAATGTGAGTTACCTCAGGATGTGGGATGAGTTAAAGGAGCCAAACTTTTCAAACCAACAACAAACCATGGTTTCTATTCGTGGTTTATAGCTGGTTAATAAATTATGCTTTATGTGAGGAAATGGGTTCAGACACAGCAAGAAGCCTGAGTTCAACCTACCATTCCATGGTTTGCATTATGTGCAAACGAAGAAAGTGTATTGAAGTCTTGCCACAAGGTAAATTGAGAAAAAAAATCAACATGGGGTTGTTAATTTTAGTGGAATTCCTCTAGGAATTCTTTACCATCACCATCACCATCATGAAGTTCCAATTTTGTCCTTTCTAGGTTGCATCAATATTTAGTTGGTAGTGAATTTCTTTTTAAAGGGTTGCACAAAGACCACCATGTACAGGCTGCCCATGTATAAATCCCATGGTCTGAAGACCTACCACCACCCACAGGCAGAAAAGAGCTTTTAAAACCAAGAATCTAAAACCAGGACTAAACATGTACAGTGGCTGCAAGTGCAGGAAACAGGATGCAGACAATCTGGGTTCTAGTCGCTGCTCAGCCATGGAACTCACTGGGTGACTTTAGGTCAGTCACAGACACTCATCCCAACCTACTTCACAGAGCTGTTTTTGTGAGGATAGGAGGAGCAGGAGAATTCTGTTAGCTGCCTTGTGTTTCTTGGAAAGAAAAAAGGTAGGATATAAATATAAATAAAGATATCTCCTTCTCAATAAGCCCAGCTTCTACCATCATTATCCTCTCCCTCCGTTTGCACTCACCAGCTCACCTCTTCCAAGCAATTGTTTGGTTATTGGTTCCTGCGGATGGTTCGCTTTCCCATAGAGACAAAGATGGATAAACAGAACTTGATGGATGTTCTAACTGTGACCTCACTATGAAGCCCAGCAAAGCCAGTTCCTACTATGCAGCATGATTCTTTTATCAAGCCCTCATTTCAGTGCTTGTGAGGAAGCATGTTCCAATACAGGATGCCACATATGTGATTCAACATGCATTCTTAGGGGCTTAATGTACGCTCGCATCCAATCATACAATATGCATTAATTCAGATTCCTTATGCACAGACATGGATAGCATTCTGGGTTTTTAGAACTAAATGAGTGTTGTTGCTCAGCCCTATGCATGACTGCCCATGTGACAAACTTCTTGTCAGTTAACGTCCTTAAATTATTTAGAACAATCCATTTTTGGTCCTTATCCCAAAAGTACACACATACCGTTTATAGTGGAAACTCCACATTCAGAGGCAATATCTCTGTGAATACCAGTTGCCATGAAAAATAAGATGGGCATTTTCATGTTTTGCTTGTGAGTTTGCTGTGTCATCTGTGGAATGAGACTTTTGATCTGATCCAAGCAAGTAGTTCTTAATATTCTTATTGGTCCTGTATCAATAATTCCTCCCACACTCTTGGTCATTCTCACTCAACACAATGGGCAGGAAATTCATAACAACACAAGAAAAGCCATGCTGGATCAGACCAAGGGCCCATCTCGTCCATACACATGCTGGCAGGCAGCTGCCCACAGGATCCCTCAGGCAGGATGGGGCCTGCCCAAGCTCCTCAGCAACTGGCATATGCTGGCATTCAAAGAAGACAATTTGGAGAAGTTATCATGGGTTGAGGGAGGGCATCTTGTGTCGACCTCACTTAAGAAGTGGCCAAAGGGTCTGTGCCAGTGTCCTACCTTTCATTGTCCAACGAGAACAGCCTTTCTGACAGCTGGCAGTCATCTTGGCTTCCCACACTCCAGATAAAGCTTAATGGAAGACACAATGAGGCAGCTCCTGTCAGTTTGTCCCTGTATGTGTGTGCGCTGCCATATCAGGAAATGCAAGCAGACTAGGAGACAGGAGGCATCGGAGAAATGAATTGCAGAAGAAACAGCCCCCCCCCCCACACACACACACACACACGCACCCAGCCATCTTGCAGCCATTAGGCAAGCTGAAAAACTACCACCAGAAGGAGCTGGAACTAACCTGAGAGACTAACTGCAGGAGGGAACATAGAAATGTCATCCCTGGGGGAGGTGGGTGGGCAGGAGAAAAGTTTCAGGAAATGGGAGGACAGATTTTGGCACAAGACTCTCTTCACTGCTTCCCCAGAGCCGGACATGTCACTGTCCCACCTGCTACAGGGTAGTCCGAGAAGTAGTGCATTATGAGGGTCCACTCTAGAGAGTGGTTGCATCCAGGATCCCCCTTCAGAAATTTCATGTTTGGACCAGCCTGAGAATGGTGCTGAACCTTGAAGAATAACAGCTCCAGATAAGGAAAATAAGTCAGAGACATTCTGAGATTTTATTTCTTTTTTCTCTGCTACCAATGTAGGGTCCCTTTGAACATTTTTCTTCAGATTTCCTTCCCCTCTCTGTGTGCAGGTGTGCTGGTTGCCTTCCCTTCTTTCCTCCCCTTGAAAGATCCTGGAAACAAGGCTAAGGTAGGACAGTGAGCAGGATGTGAAATGGAGACCATGCATGATCAGTGCTAGCACCGCAAATAAGGAGGGAGGGAGGGAAGCAGCTTATAGGAAAATAAAAATAAGAAGGGAGAAGTTGTGCAGGGCAATTTCTCTCCCCGCTGCCCCACAGCTTATGCTGAATCAACTGCAATAGTGGAAGTGGACATCTGTGTCCCCTCCTTGCCCTGGCAGTAGCTCCAGCACTGGATAAATTGTCTTGAGTTCAGTTTCCCCCCTTCACTCCTGGAAGCCACAGACCTTTCTTAGCAAAAAGTCCTCTGTTCCCCAAAGTGTATTCCTGAAGCATGCTCACCCAAACTGAATCTCTGAGCGTGCTCGGAGTAGTTTGTAGAATGCAATCTAGTATTTACTTCTAGGAACTCTCCTTTGGAATGTGTTTGGACTCCATCCTTTTGGGAGGAGGGTTTTGGAAATGAGCACCTCTCCTCCCTGCATGCCAGCCCCGTAATTGAGTCTCCCACAACCCACTACATCTGTCTTTTGAGAAACTCCCCTATTCCAAGCCTACTCCCAATAGCTGTATGTTTTGGTTGCTCTCATAGGCTTCCAGAGCACCTGGAGAGTCTGGCCTTGAGATCAGCCCCTCTGCTTCTGGAATTGGCCCACATTCTGACCCCCCACCCCATCCCTTCTCTGCCTCCTCCTCCGAGTCCAAATCAGCATGCCCGGAAATGTGTGCTGAGAGAAACTGTCACTCTCAATCCCAAAATAAATGCCATAGAGAGAACTAGGAGACCTGATGAATGGGGTGAGTTGTGAGGACAGGCAGAGGGATATTTTGTGAACAGAGCCCTTTCCATCGTGAAAGGGGCACCTTGGAACGAGACCCATTTGTTGGCAACTTAGCAAATCGGCAGCTCCTGCAGGTTGGGTCCTCCCAATGCCATTCAGTGATGTTGGGAGTACAAGACCATGTGGATGGAGCTCCTTCCTGTGCCCATGTTATTCCGATTCTGCAAGGCTAGGTGATGGTGTAGGAAGGAGCCATTACCTGGACTCCTCCCATCTAACATGGTGGGCATGTCGTGAGTGGAGCTGGCTGGAGCCGGGGGTCAGACTAGATGGCCCGGGAGGTCCCTTCTGACTCACTCTGTTCCTGTGTTTCTGTGTTTCTAACCTTGGCCTTCAGAGTTCAACAACCTCAGCAATTTGTGTGAGATCTTTGCCTGTCAAGGCAGCCTTCCTTTACTCTTGCATCTGAAAACTCCAAAGCATGTCACCGGCTTTAATTGAACTTGACACCCGATTTCCATTTGATGCAAATGATTGCTACACCGCATGCTGGCTCTTGAAGACAGATAATCTCTTTCCAAATGTGCTTTCAATGGACTATTTGCTTCTTCAGCTATGATGGATATTCCTGATCAGTATGATTTCAC